TATTTCCATAAAAAAATTTCTCAAAAATTTTTGACGAAAAATATTTTCATCAAAATTTGTGACTAAAAATATTTCTGTAAAAAATTTGACGAAATATTTTTTTTGTCAATTTTTTTAACGGAATCTAAATTTCATCAAAATATTTCACAAAAAAATATATTCATCAGAAATTTCGACGAAACACATTTTCATCTAAATTTTTTGACGGAAAAAAATTTCATCAAAATTCTTTACAGATTTCAAGTTTCGGCGAAAGTTTTCGACGGAAAAATTTGCGTCGAAACTTTTTAACAAAAAAAAATTTTCGTCGAAATTTTAGCAAAACACATTTCCATCTAAAATTTTCAACTAAATATTTTCGTCAAGTTTTTTGATAAAAAATATTTTCATCAAAATTTTCTACATAACACATTTCTGTAAAAAAAATTCGTAAATATTTTTGACAAAAAATATTTCGATAAAAAATTTTGACGAAAAAAATATTCTGTCAGAATGCTTTAGAGAATGTAAATTTTGTCGAAAGTTTCGGATGAAACATTTCCCTCGAAACAATTTCCGTCGAAATTTTCGACAGAACAAATTCCCATCAAAATTTTGAACGAAAAACATTTCGCCAAAATTTTTGACAGAATTCTTTTTTCGTTTAAAACACTTGATGGAAGAAATCATTTTCGTCAAAACTTTCAACGGAAACTAAATTTCATTAGAAAATTTATTTTTGTAAAAATTTTCATTTCGTCGCTTTTCGACAAAAAGTATTCTGACGAAAAAATAATTGTGACGAAATTTTCGTCGTTTGCAACGTAGAAATTTCGACGAAATTTTGTGAGGAAACCAAGTCAAAAATCAAGTCAGGTCAGATCTGACCCGGTTCTGAACTAGTTCAACAAAATCCAAACCAATTCAGACCTGGCTTGGATCAAATTAAAGCAGGTCGGGTCAAAATACATGACCTATAAAAACCAAGTTGGGTCGAGTCAGACAAAAACCTGACCCGACCTGACCCATGCATAGCCCTTACGGCAGCTATTGATTTATAAAGGGAGCAAAGACATCTCCCATGAGAAGGGTTCGTGTGGGTTTGGGTCAGGATGATTATTGTTGTGTAAATTTGCAAGTGTAAGCACTCGATCTTGTATCTGTTTGATATGATACTCTAAGTGGCCCAATCCCAATTGCAAAGTAAATACAAACAATAATGAAAAAATAACCTGCAACCAAACTGCCTTAGAATGAGAGAAAGAGATATTAGTAAGATTTATTTTTTGGGAATTTTTTTACAAATCAATTTTCTAAAATTGTGAAAATAAAATTAATGTATTAAACGAAAATTAACTTAGCTTGCGAGTACATTTTCTTTTTTTCTTTTTAGCTATTACTTTTGTAATTAAATTTGTATGTTTTGATGTGATAGGGATTAAATAATTAGCGGAAATGTTTTATAATATATTGTGAATTTGGGATCAAATTTCCAAATGCAGAAACTGATTTTTTTAAATAAACAGCAGAAGAACAAAACCAACAGTACACAAGTCTTTACTTGGTTCAAATCTGGTATTGCTATCAAGATTCTTTTTCCAAGGACCTGTTATTGCAATTTTATCAAGTCCAATTAAAATTCAGAGTATCCAGCAGCATTAAAATCACATATCAGAGCAGACAAACAAAATCACAACAATACCAACCAAAACCCTAAGCATATGAAAGAAAACACAAGTAACTAGTTCTAACAGCAAACCCGAAGACCATCTTTGTTCCAGCTCGAACACCAACACACAAGTTCTCTCAAGCAAGAAGACACCGCCAAACACCCACCAGTTCGTTTACGAGATTGCTCACTCCCAAATGCTTGAACAAGAACCCCAAAAGAACCTTCTTTCACCAGCAGTACAAGGGTTAAAGACAAAAAACCGAAGACCCACTTCACCGTGTACTCAAATACATCTCACCCTCTCAACACAGTTCCCCCGCCCCTCCTGTTCCCACTGCATGCTCTTTCGATACTCCTCGCCCCTTTGATTATGTTCAGGACAATTTTATCTAAAAGATGCCTAACAACAATTACTTCTCAGTAAAATAACAATTAAAAACTAGGATATTATCAAGTGCTACCAAAAAATTCTCGTTAAACTAAGCAACATTAAACAATACAGTGTTAGTGCAGTAGAATAACGAGATTAAAAGGTGTCAAGTCATGGTTCAAACGATTTTCTCAGGAACAAAAACGAAAGTGCAATTTAAAGGAAGCAAATGAAGAAAAAACAAATTAATACAAATAATAAAAAATAAATAAACTCCAAAATCGCAGCTACATTATTAGCTGGCTGACACGTATGATTATTAATCGATTAATTAATTAATCACTTAACGAACGAACCAAAAACAATAGAAAACAAAGAGAAAGGGAAGCAGAACGGCGCGAACCTAACCTTGGAGAAGCAATGTAGGAAGAAGGTGAGGGAGGAGAAGCCACGCTTTGAAAGGAAGAGATCAAATCGAACCAATGAAACAAGAACAAGTTGGCGCGGAACGGAAAGTAGATGTCTCCTCGAAATTGCAATGCGAAATGAAACGACGCCGTTACGGATGGATCGGAATTGGAGGAAGATTTTCTGTTTGGAGAAGAAAGGGAAGAACAGAAATTAGGTGCGAGATTTGAGAGTGTGAGAGAGAGGTTGAGGATCGATTACTATGTGAATGTGAATGTGATGTAACTATAAGGAAGATGAGGATCGATTACTAGATGAACGAAGAATGAAAAAGAATAACGAAGATGAAAATGAAGCAGAGAATGACGAGAAAATGAAGAGATTATTAATAGACTCTTTATTATAATAAGTTACAATAGAATAAATGATAGTGTTGAATTATCCTAATTATATATTATAACTCATAGAAGTTATAAGAGCTATAGATCGTTCCTTTGGGGTTATGGACATCCATGTAGTTTTTATCTTTATTGTTCTTCTAGTTACCTATTATTTTATAACACGTTATACAAAAGCCTTGAGAGGTTTTTCCAGCTTTAAATCCTTTGACAATACCACCTAGTATCCCAGGTACAGTAATTTGTAATAAAAAAGTTAAGCTAGTTAAACAGTTTTTAATGGTGGGAACTTTAGGATAACAAAATGAGACAAGTCAGAGAAACACAAACCTGTTTTTTCCTCTGATTTGAAAGAACAAAAGGAAGGAACCTGAGTTGCAACCACTGCACTAGCGCAGAAACGAAAATGACATTTGAGAGAGAGAGAGAGGGGGTGAGTGCTGCAGCGAGAATACTGAGAGGGTGTTGAATTGAAACTTAAGTTGTGTTTTTCGTTTCAAATGAATAAATAAAAATAATATTTACGGGTTGGAAGGGGTTCACAGGCTAACCCATAACCCAACATGAGACATTTTGGGCTTTTTGACCCTTATGCCCCTTAATTAATAATTAATTACCAAATTGCCCCTCATTCAAAACTATTTCGAAAATTTACCCTTCCCAACAAACATAACACCAATCTGCCCCTGTTTGACCGTTGACCGCGAAGCCTACCCGGGTACACCATTACCTACCCGGGTAAATTTTGAAACTTTTTATCTACCCGAGTATGTAGGGGTGTACCCGGGTAGAGTTCTTGAATCTGGGAAAATGTTTGAATTATTTACCCGGGTACGGAGCAGTGTACCCGGGTAAACATCGACGGTAGGGTTTTAAAATACCCCAGCAGCCCCATTTCGAAAACCCACAAAAGGGGTACCCGAGTAGAGCTGCTGGAGGAGTGTCATCTTGAGCGATTTCAGGCAGAATCTTGCACTAATTCGTCTTGTTTGTGATCATCATTCGCGGACCTTGCAACCTCTCTGCCTTCTACCGATTGAAATCGATCAAAGGTGAATTTTTTTTTCAGTTTTTTCAATTATGTTATGATTTCTGTTCTGATTCATTGTATTTTCGTTTATATCATTTGATTCTGTCCGAATTATTTTATCAATTTGTCTAACCCTAACCCTAACCCTGAATCTAACCCTAACCCTAACCCTAACCCTAACCCTAACCCTAACCCTAACATGTATCTAATTTCTGATTTTGGTTATTTTTTCAGTTTAATAGTGTGACACAATGACCTCTCGACGCGTTTCAAAGCTGCCAGTGACCCATTCCGAGAGAAGAACCAAGAGTCGTCACGATGGGTCGTCATCCTCTCAGCCCCAGGCTGCTTCGAGTCAGGCTCCGGACTTGACGTTCGGATATTTGTTTGAGGATGACATTCCTTCACACGAGAAGTTCGTGAAGTTTTTCATGACCCGGAAGATCTGCGAACCGAAATCACTGGATTCGGCATTCTTCAACCTAGAGCGTTTTGACATCGTGCCGCTTCTTGAGCAGACACATTTACTTCACCTGGCGGAGATGCGGTGCCCATACTCGGAGGTTATGGTAAGAGCCTTCTACCAGAACCTTGGCTACTCGCAAGGCGAGCTGACTTCCCGTGTCTGCGGGATTGATATCATCATGACTGCTCCTATCTGGACGGAGCTACTGGGGTTCGATTTTGATGGTGTCACAGGAGCAGCACTATATGATGGAGACAGCCATCATATATTTGGTGATTATAACCGGGAGACCATTGTTACAGAGACTAGGAGGGCAGACGCTGAGCCCGGTCATTTTGCTCATTATCCTGTTAGCAACTTGTCAGTTTCTGCTCGCATTCTTCATTATGTGGTGACACATATTATTTTCCAGCGCCCGCATAATCACTCAAAGGTGCTGGAAGGGGACTTTGTCATCCTGTGGGCCCTCCTTCACAGTCAGCAGGTGAATTGGAGGCATTACATATGCATACTGATGTGGAAGGCAGCCAAGTCAAAGAAGGCTGAATTGCCTTTTGCATTTCTGGTGCAGAAGATTCTGCATAGATTTGGAGTGCCTATGGCAACAGAGACCTTGAAGACCGCCAGAGGCTGGAATGCTATATTTGGTGAGAGGCTCCTGAAGCAGTGTGGGATCCTACCGAACAGAGCGGGTATCTGGACGTGGAAGAAGGCACCAGAACCACCTGAGATCCCATTCCACCACGATGCTGAGATGGAGGATGCACCTGCAGGTGATGTGTTGGTCTTTATGAGTTTATGCAATTTTGTGTTGTTTAATTTTTAATGTGGTATTGAAGTTTGTTTTTCATGGTTTATGATGTAGGCCTTGATGATGATGACGATGATGATGGCGTTGCTGAGGTTGATGTCAGACCGACACGTCCCACCCGCAGTCGGCGACCACCAGCTCCTCCTGAGGGTGGATGGACACTTGATCATGTCATGGCATCCTTATATGATCTGACTACTGACTTTAGAGGATATAGACAGAGCACGAGCAAGTGGCGAAACCAGATGGACACAAGGGTTGCACGGTTGGACACAAGGGTTTCACGCTTGGAGGGTTTAATTGGCGAGGGTGCCCATACTCAGGAGGAGGAGGAGGAGGAGGAGGATGATGACAATGGGGATGACACACAATCGGATGAAGAGAATGGGGAGGACACGGCATCGGATTAGTGTGTCCATAGGGTTTCATATCATTGATTTAGTTTGATGTAATGTAGTCATTTTGGTACATTTAGGAACTTTACCTACATTGCATGGATGTTTTTGTACTGGATATTCAAAATTTGAATGAATGAAATTTTCGTTTTGTGCACGTTCAGACTTGTTGGTTCTATGCATTAGTATGGGACCTTGCATTAATATTGTCAATCCACCCCCAAGTCATACCGTATGTAGGTATTGCACAACAATTACCAAAATGCAACAAAAATTGCCAAAACAGCATCTGCAACAGCATCTGCAACTGGTCTACCCGGGTACCACGAATAGTCTACCCGGGTAGTATGTACTCGGGTATATCATTACGAGTTACCCGGGTAGACCAGTTGCAGATGCAGCAGCAGGTGCTGTTCAATCCATTTTGTTAGCATCTTGGTAATTGATGTGTAATACAATAACCTTAACTGACTCGGGGAAGGGGTAAATGGGTATGGTAGACATTCGGATTGCACAATACGGAACGAGTGACTCGCTAAACTTAACGGATACATTTCAACAATACATTTCAACAACACAAGAATACAGTTCAACAATACATTTCAACAACACAATACATAACAAATACAAGATAAAGTTTAGGGTACAAGGAAACAAAACAATACGTAAAGTGATTGTCATTACAAAACAAAGTACTACACAAAAACAATACGTAATCATGCTTGTCTTAGTCTCAATGGACATGTACGAATGTTATGTCCAACTTGCTTGCAATGCTTACATCTGCTCTGACTGCTAGAGGGTTGAGACTCAACCCAATCCATCTCATTCTGAATCCTTGAAGACTTTGGTCTTCCTTTTGCACGTACCAACTGAGCATCCGGAATTACAGTAGGCCCAACAACGGATGGAATCAACAATTCATTGCCAATAGGAAACCAGTGTGCAGCATATACTTTAGCAATGGTTGGAATTTTGAAAACATGATCCACATAATCATAATGGTTTAGCTTGGCCACCTTGCAAACTGCTAATACATGACTGCAGGGATACCTCCTTGCTGTAAACCTACCACACTGACATGTACGATTGATTAAGTCCACTCTCATGATGTCACCGACCTCGTGTGTAGATTGATTGTAGGCATCCTCAACCTCAAACAATAACAGGTCACGATCATATATCCTCACACGATAAGTGCCAGCCAATTCATCATTTTTTTGCAACGCTGCCTCAACCTTCTTTGAAATTATCCAACCTTGTGAGATATCTTTTTCAATCCCTTCACGTCTCTTGACGAAATACTCAATGAGTCTACTGAATGTCATCTTGACCAATGCAGATATAGGCAGATTTCGTGCTCCACGAAGCACCTTATTCACACACTCAGATAGGTTAGTTGTCATATGACCAAACCTACGTCCTGTCTCATCATACGACCTGCACCATTGCTCTTTCGGAATCGCATCCAACCATGAAGCAACTTCAGGATTGTTCTCGATAAATTCCTTGTACCTAATGTCGAAATTTATCTTTGAACATGTGTACCCTGCAAAAAACCATGACATATGCATTAGTTAGTGAATTTCATCAACGTTTTCTTCAAATGGTTGAAAATGTGAGTAATTATACCGTACATTACCTAATTTCATCAACGTTTTCTTCAATTCCACATTCCTAAAACGGGTATTGAAGTTGCTTCCGATGTGACGTAGACAAAATACATGATAAGCATATGGAGGCTGCCACCCTCCGTGGTCTTTCACCGCCCTTATGATGCTTCAATGACGATCGGATATTAGACAAATACCATGCCTGTGTGTGACATGAAAACGTAAAAGGCTAAGAAACTAGGACCAATCATCCAACCTCTCACCTGGAGGAACAACAACAAAGTCAATAGGGATGAGCTCAGAAAATATTTACAGTATGAAGTGGCAAAGAAGGGTCACATGCTTTCACATACCCCAAAGCAAAATTATTTACTCACCTGGAGGAACAACAGCAAAGGCAATAGGGAGCAGAAATCCATCTCCATCCTGAGATGTTGCAATCAATAGAGTACCTCTGTACTTCCCATACAGATGAGTGCCGTCAATTTGAATTATAGGCTTGCAGTGTTTGAATGCTTCAATGCATTGGTGAAATGTCCAAAAAACCCTTTGAAATACGGCCCTGTCTGTATAAACCCGACGTTCATCAAAACATTGATTTGTATCAAGTTTGAACACAGAACCCACATTCACCTCCGTCATATACTTTAGCCAATTTGGCAAGAATGCGTACGATTTCTCCCAGTCACCAAACAACTTAACGATGGCCTTCATTTTTGCCTTCCAGGCCTTCCTGTACGTTATGTTGTATCCATATGTTCCCTGTATCCTCTCCTGTATCAGAGCTGGTCTTGTGGATGGATCTTCCTTTAACATATCTGGAAAAAAAAAATTAACTTTACCATATTCTCAATTAATCTGAATCATTAAATAAACAGTAGAATACATACTCATTATAGCCGCACAAATGACATTTGAATCCAACTGTCTATGATCCTGTGCTAGGCCTTGATTTAGGCATGTGTGACCTTGACCCCATTTACGGACCACCCAGTTAGCTCCCTTCTTCGGCTTAATTGCCCTCATATACCAGGGACAACCGTCAGCATGGTTTTTACACTTCATAACAAATCTTGACTCGTCGCTTTTTTCAACTATGGCTGTCCTGCGCCCCTTCATACAATGTATCTTCACAGCATGTTGCAATTCTGGTTTGGACCCAAATTCTTGTTGCACAAATAACGGATCTCCTAACTTCCAACCTCCGTGCAAGTCATCATCGCCATATAGGATCTCCAACTCGTCATTAGGGTGCGCCCAGTTAATGAATGAATAATGTTGGCTTTCATTCCAGAATGGCTCCTCAGACCCTGCATCTAAAGATCATGTCAAATTTAATAACTTACCACAAATAATAAATTGTCTAAAGCAAATATTCAAATTTAATAACTTACCACTACTGACTGGGTCGACATGAAGTGGTGACAAGGCTGGGGTACCGAGACTTACGGCGCTCATGTCAGCCTCAAAATTACCGTCCACATCAGTGTCTGACGAATCACCTTCTGGAATAGCACTTTCAGGTTCTCCCTCCTCTTCGCTGTCCACATAGTCCTCGTCTTCATCCTCTTCATCCTCATCCCATGCTACCTGAGGAGGTGCAGAAGATCGTACAACTGTATCTTCTTGACCGGTACAGTGTGCAGTAGTGGTTGTATGCACCGGTAAAGATGAAGATTGTCCAACATCAACTTCAACATATATCTCAATATATTTTAATACTTTCCATTCAACAAACGCATCTGTTACGAACTCCACATCTTCATCATCATTTATATCGTTTCCAATGTAGTATATTGTATCCATATCCACTACAGTCTCTAACCTGGCTATCATGCGGTGGATGGAATGTATGCCTTCTGACCCCATTTTTTGAAGAATTCTCTCCTTCAGTTCATTGCATGTAGTGCCCACTTTGATTTTCATCGTTTTTGTTTTTCCTTCAAATCGGACACCGTTCGGACCTTCAAAATGCCTCCCATTGTAGTAAACAACTATAGGAACCATGTTTGGACTTGAACTCATCTTTCACACAAAAATTAGATCTAGGTTTTGGGTTTGGAGGTTGGTTCAGATTTTTTAGCACAAAATGGGAGTGTGGAGATGTAATCTCAATGTCCCCCCAAGATTCAGCTTTCTGAAATGATGAGATGAAATATGTGTGATGTTTCGGATTAGAGAGGGTAAGAGAGAAAGATTTGGGGTTTCAAAAACCCTATACCTCGCAACAATGGCCGAAACCCATACATATTGGGGTTTCTGGACGCGATTTACCCGGGTACACTGCTACGTACCCGGGTAAATAATTCAAACATTTTCCCAGATTCAAGAACTCTACCCGGGTACACCCCTACATACTCGGGTAGATAAAAAGTTTCAAAATTTACCCGGGTAGGTAATGGTGTACCCGGGTAGGCTTCGCGGTCAACGGTCAAACAGGGGCAGATTGGTGTTATGTTTGTTGGGAAGGGTAAATTTTCGAAATAGTTTTGAATGAGGGGCAATTTGGTAATTAATTATTAATTAAGGGGCATAAGGGTCAAAAAGCCGACATTTTGTGTTATTCTTTTCACAAAATTTTCGTATCGGGTATGGATTGAGTTATCAATTGCCACACTTAGAGGTATTGTTCTCAATTCTGATTTTTTACACATCTCAAACAATTTGATTTTAGCTATAATTTTTTGGTATATCAACTTCAATTATTTTTTTGAAATGAGTGGCTTCCTAGGTATTTTCTTTGAGACAAATGGCCTTTTAGATATTTTCACAAGTCAGAATTTAGTCACAGTTAAATTTTTTTATCTCTTTTGAAAATATATTTGGGAATTGAATTAAGACCTATTTGGAATTTTAATGACATTTGAAATTTATAGAATCATTTTACCTACGCAGAATAAAACATGAGGCTAAAATTAGACCTGATCTTTTATGGCACACATTCATAATGAAAAATGAATTTACATTTTTAATTTGTTACACAATCATATTTATAAATTTATTTTTAAAATTAAATATTATAATATATGTTACTGTTACTTGGACTTGAATAATTTTTAGAGAGATTAATATTTTTTTATGTTTTAAAAGATAATTTCATGTACGTATTTTATTCTACGTAGGTTAAATCATTCTATAAATTTTAAATGTTATTAAAGTTCCAAATAGGTCTTATTAAATGTCATGCTCAAAATTGATTTAAATTATTACTAAAACTGAATTCAAATCCCAACAAATGGAAGGGATAAAGAGCTTTAACATTTAACTGTGACTAAACTCCAACTCGTGAGAGTATCCGAAAAGTTAACTTGTCTCGGAAAAGTAATTAAGATTGATATACCAAAAATTTGCAAGAGTCAAATTGTACGTAAAACCCAATTTTGTATGGAACGCAAGTCATGGCCTCGACTAGTTTATGCAGGCATGCAAAATCATGGTAAAAAGTAATTGTAGATGCACAAGCAAACTTCAAAAAATTTGGAAGGCGTAGGAAGTTAAGATGAAGCAAGAAACAACTAAATCAATCAAATTGCTAAACAGTTTTACTAGAATCACAAGGAATCCAGGAACGAAGCAAAAGAAGTTTGTGTTGCCAATTGAAGAATGTAGAAATACGAAGGAATCTAATCAACTTTTTTTTTTTTTCAATTTTCCTTTCCCTTATCCTTCCATTTAATTGGTGGCAGAATGGTAGTTGCTTCATTGCTTATAACAAAACAATCCTTTCTCTTTCACTGTTTCCTCTTTCTATGGCCTATTAAGGCTAAGAAAATTCATCAGATCAAAGAATCAAGTGGGGACTGCAGAGCATGTCATTTTTGTTATAGTTGGCATAACTATTATCCTTATTCATCAATTGAAGGACGAGTTGTATTTGGCAACCTCCTGCCACGCACAAATGAACTGAATAGATGCAATGCTCTTGAAGGTTGTGCATAAGGTACCATGTGAGCAGCTCCTCTTACTGTGGCAAAAGTTAACAAATTTCCATACTCGGTTACCCAACCTCCAACCTATATATGCCACCAATTACCATTAAATTTTAACTTAACTTGGCAAACAGTTAATCTTAAAATAGAATAATGACATATTCTTCAATGTAGAAATGGTCAAGATTGCAAAATTTGTTTAGGTACCTGGCCTTTGTGGAACCAAGCTCCATATGGGACTGTAATCTTGAACTTCAATTCATGAGCTAGTTCACGAATAAGTGATCGAGATCCCAATAATGGAACAACAGAATCTTGGTCTCCACTGTTATCATTTAACGTTAAGCAATTAGAGTACGAATAAAAAGTTAGCTTAAAAGTATAGGCAATGCTGGGGAATGCCCAAGAAGGGTCTTTTGTATTGAAATTACCTGAAAACCCATACTGGAATATGGTTCTGGACTATCCTTTTGAGAATTGGAAGGATATCGATGTTACCATCAGTGTCGCTATAGTTTAGAACACTGTGCAATGAAGAAATATGATCAGTAACGTAAAGATATATGAAAATAAGTCATGATTAACAAGCCGAATTGCACAGCTAGAAGATAAGGAAATAGAACATCCCTACATAAACCTGCTTAGCAAACCATTTCAATTCAACTATTTAAGTTCAACATTCAAGATCCCAGGCATGCAAGTTAGTGGTATTACTTTGTCTGTCAGTTTGAAGTTTGAACCACAAAGAAACGGAGAAGGTTACAAATGTTTGGTTACTGTGTTGGGATTTTGTTTCGAAATCAACACACAACAATCCAAAGTTCCAAAATTAATTTAATCTCAAAGCATGACATTTACAACAATAATATAGAAATTGAGTTGTAATATGAATATCACCTAAAAAGTACAACTACCATGAATAGGGATTCTCAAAAGTGAGGTGGATAGAAACTATCCTAATTTTCTATATGTGAAAAATCCTTATGGTCTTAAATCTTAATAGAATAACCACAATAAATACTGAATGAGAATAGGGGTCTCTCCTTGTGATAGCAATATAAGTTAACTTGTCAACATGGAAAACCCTCACAAGGCCACCCAACACAATCACATTGGTCTAAGTTCATATCACAATCCAATAACAAAAATGATGATATATGAGTTAAACAAATAGATACTGTACAATTTTTGACATTCAAATAACATAAGATTTAGAAATTGGAAACTATGCTCGTCCATGTAAGATTACAAAAACGAACATATAGTTATACTAAAGCTAAAGAATGTTTTACTTACGGACTACACATGGACCAGCTATAAGGAAGATTGGTACGGTTTGCATGGAGCGCCTTCTGAACCTCAGGGAGGTTGAAGTAAAAACGTCTTTCATAACTCATACAGACATCTACGCCTACACTTATTTTTGTAGCCTGTGTTCAATTAAAGACAGTTAGCATATAAATTCATTAAAATAGATTACAGTATTCAACTGAACAGAAGTTGAAGAGGCATACCATCTTTTTCAATCTAAGTTCTTGTTCCACTATGGATGGATAACAAACATCCAAAATTACATCATAGTTGTTTATATAATTGCCAACAACGAGATTTGCTTCATACATGGCATCGTTGCATGAATGAGAAACATTGTGAGGACTTGCATAGGCATAATCATCAAAATCACAATTGTTCATAATGGCAAGGCCAATTTCATCAGAAATCATTCCATGTGACCAGAAGTATTCATATGTTGCTGGTGCATCCCGATCAAGTCTCAGAAGTGGGTTTCCAATCTAATCAGGGAAAACCAAGGGGAAAGTAATATGACTTTTAAAATATCATTAACATAAATGAGACTAGCTCAAATGCAACATAAATGAGAAAATGAATGCCAAGAGATGTATCAAAATGAATGGGAATTTACAGCAACTCCTTTGATGTTGAATTTGAAACCAGTTGAATGAGCATTATGGTCCAGTAGAGCATTAGTTAACTGTGGTATGTAGTGTCCTGTGAAACATTATAAATGTTGATAAGAAACCGAATATATCATGAGATCATGGATAATACCTAATAAGAAATAAAGTAAATGACAATTAAATAAATTGAAAATTTGGATTTAATAGTTATTTGTTGAACCTGCATAGCTTTCACCGGTAAGGAACAGCTCCCTTGATCTGTATGATGGAAACTTCTCGTACCATTTCAGCATGAACAAATACATATCGTTGGCTGCCAAAAAAACAAATAAATATATGTTCATTCAAAAACTCAGTTTCTCCGGAATGGAGAGATAATTTAGATCAAGGTCTTTTTTAATTGTTCTTCTTGGAGTTTTTCTTGGTTTTCTTCTACTTATGTTTCATCAGATTATATTCTACCTGATTAAGTCTTCTTCCTGAGAACTCTCTTCATCTTTTTGCCACATTGCCAAATCCTCTTTGGGAAAATTCTATCATCTTTTTTTAAATAGTTATTTTTTGAACTTTCTCTTTAATATATTCTGATCATATTTCCTTATATATGCACTTATCTACCACAACATTCAAGTATCTACAACTCTTAGCTTCTGCTTTTGTTGGCACTTTATTGTCTAATATCTCCATCCCCAGTCTTCCTCAATCTCTTCATCACTCTGTATGATGTGAAATTTTATATAGATGATTATACACATTAAATTCCCCTTTCCCAGCCTTAGGTGAACACAGAGGAAGATAGAGGGGCAGGGGTCAGGGGATGGAGTGATTTCGTTTTTCTCTTCTGTTTCTAATCATATAGAACCCAAAGTCAAAAAAGTAAAAAATAAATAAAAAATAAATATGAAATCCTTAAACAAGCAGAAGAAGCATAGTAGCAGAACACAAAGAAAATGAAAATAGGCCAATCTCCTTACCAGTGGATGCGTCTCCAGAGTTATAATCAGAAGTTGTATTTGAGTATGACCAACCAACTCCAGCAGGAGACTCCACGAAAAGAATGTTGGAAGCTATGAATGACACAGGATCAGGAATCAACGTACTCCAAAAATTTCAAATATCAAAAGGACTAATTCATGTAAAATACTTGTGTTCTAATCTATGTGTCATACCTTTATTCCAAGACTTTGAATTTATTCGGAGACCACGTCCATCACCTTTAGGATAAAAGGGTCCCAATTCAGTAAAAGCACCTCCTCCCATGGAGGAACATCCCGGACCTGAAATAGAAGGGAACTTGCTCTGAAATCTTAGTTACACCTAAATATGACAATCACAATTTTCTCACTCAGTTTTACAATTCTTTTTACTAGCATAATTAAAAATATATCCCAGGTCATGTTTCAAATCAGCATTATAACCGAAAAACAAACTCTTAGAGGAGAAAGTACAATCTTGTATTCTGTGACCGTGAATTAGATATTTCTATCATCTCGTGCAAGAAATGGAGAGATTGTTATTGTAAAGAACCCTGGGATATACCACCCAAAAGCTAGCTCAAAGGATGGCAGTGGCCAAAGCCTTATAAACTCCACATTAGTTGCACATACAATCAATGTGAGACTATATTTCTCAACACGTCCCCTCACACGAGAGCCAATTGGGCTTGAAGAGTGGAAGATGCAACATGTCCAGCCTACCTGTTCTAAGAAAGTTCACAAGAGAAAGTGGGGGACGGCGAGGCTCTCATACCATGTGAAGAGCCTTGGGATACACCACCCCAAAAGCTAGCTCAAAGGGTGGGAGTGCCCAAGGCCTTATAAACTCCACATTAGTTACACATACAACCAACATGAGACTATATATCTAAACACTTATCAATTATTATAAAGCATTTTTCTCCATCATCATCAACCCTTTTAATTTTCCTTATTAGACAGCGGAATGGATTTGTCAATGATTCACATAAAAAATAAAGAAGAAGAAATAAACCCCATCTCGTGTAAATTTTACTTTATGTTTATGTGATGAAGTGACATAATTGCATGAAGGAAGATTCTGAATTCGTTGATTTGATGCTTAGTTTTTCAAATAAAAATAGCTGTCTTTCCCAAAAAAAAGTTTCTGTCAACTGTAAACCCATGAACTACTAAAAACCAGGGTCATTTCAACTTTATTATCAGCAGGATCTGTCAAAATAGTACAACACAGTGCAAACAAACAGGGTTTTCTATTGAGTAAAAAGGCAACACAAAATTTGAATTTGGTCAGGACAGAGACAAATCAATGACACCTTCCTAAGCTTTTCAGAAAAAAGAAAGGAAAAAAGGAATATGTTAAGAAAATACGACAAAATAACCAACAGCTCACCTAAAAAGAATAAAAAATATAAAAATACACGCATACAGGAATTATTCTTCACAAAAATGTAACAAGATATTGAAGATTGAAGAGTATGAACGAAAGAAACTGGAATAAATAACAACGAAAATGGACTCCATTCTATGAGCACACACACATCAAGATTCACTTAAATAGTGTAATGAATGAAAAAATAAATAAAAATGGCAGTTTTGAAAATTCATGATGAATTGAACAAGAAAAAGGGTAACCATTACCAACCTCCATTGAGCCAAAGTGTGAGGGGCTTGTTGTGAGGGTCTTGTTCAGCCTCAACAAAATAGTAGAACAGGCTCCTACCATGCTTGACATCTACATCAACATACCCAGCATACTGCACAAACCCAACATTGGGTTGACCAGGCAATCTCACAACAAGATCCTCAGATGGATACCCTTCTACTCCAACAGTACCCAGCAAGCTGGCACACCCCAACACAATTAAGACCCCAACCAACCAACACCTACCCATTTCCCCAAATGCTCCAACACCCTCACTTGACACCCACCCTTTATCCATTCTCTCACAAACCTTTTATCCTTATTAGCTACAAACACTTTCTTTCTAATGACTAATCCCAACCCGCCCCTCCCTCTCAAAAAAAAAAGGCAAACGTTTCTTTCTTTCTTTTTCTATGACCAAATGAATGGCATTAATTATGATAATGTGTCTTTATTGAACTTATGTTCTGGGAAGAGATAAGAAAGGCACGTCGCACGTGACTCATGGGTTTGCTTTAACAAAAAGCTACATCCATATCTCAAGATCTGAATCACATAGAATATGCCACAAATGCATGAAGGAATGAAAGATACACATATATGTATGTATATAGGGTAGCTGAGACAGGCAGAAAGTAGAAGAATGGTGCAGGTTTCACCTACAGTTCACTATACTTGAGCCTCTGCATGATTTATAATAATTTAATTTAAAAGGGAAAAAAAATAGATAGAGAGGTTTTGCAAGTAGGAAACAGTTGATAAGATAATTAATCATCAAACGAGTCAAACAAGTAACGCTTTTGGACCTAGTTCTGGCAGCTTCATAGGTACTAGGGGATTTTATTTTATTTTTTTTCTTCCATTTTTTATTTTTAGCGTGACACTATCCAATCAGTGAACACTACAAAAGTCAAATTTCTTTCCCTTTCTGCGTCCCTACCACACATTTTTATTTAATGTGTTTTTTCTTTAAAAAAAATCATAAAGATACTTTATTTATACCTTTAAGACAATGATGCGCGCGACTGGATTCCACGCATACAAGACAATGATGCAATTCTTAGTCCTTTTTATACCTTTTATGTTGCCTTTGTAATTTGAATAGAGAATTTTAAAATTTCAAATAATTTGAAATATTATATAAGAATACTTAATTGAAGCCATGGAGATGGAGTATTTTATTTGCAAAGCTCAATACTTTTTTGGATATTGTAATTCTCATTATTGGATACTCCAATACTATTATCAATTTTCCAACACTCCTTCTTGTATTCCTCGCCACCATTAATTGCTTTATTAAATTCTCCACAAATTTTTTTTTATCATTTGATAAGATGAAGCTTTTGAATTTTAGATAGAATCCCATTTAATTAAAGCATCTTGTTGTACTCCCTGCGAAAAATTCAACTACATTTAATTCATACGATTTGTGTAAATTAAAGAAGGGAAATATGTTTATCATATTACATGATATAATTTTATCTCATGCAATACATAAAAAAGTAAGAGAAACCAACTAAGAAGAAGAGAGAGAGAAAAAAGTGAGTCCATCCAATTTTGTGTGTGTATGAGATAAAATTATCTTATGTAACGTGGGAGACATATTTGCCATTAAAAAAATAAGTAAAGACTTATTATCAATTTATATTTAAATATAAGTACCTCTATCCTTATGTCATCAATTATTTTACATTTAATATAGGAAAAAGTTCAGGGATTTATTTTTTTATTACTTATAAGTTATACCTCTATATTTTTTTCTTATCGATTACTTTCTTGTGATTTTTTCATCCAAGTTCACTTTTAACATTGCTAGTAATTGAATCAATTTACATATTTTACCTATATAAAAAATTGCTAATTAATCTGATGTAAAGGTCTTGGTCACCAGCAACAAACTGCCTTTAATGATTAGTTATATCCAAGGGCGTAAATGGGCTAGGCCAGTCTATAAGGACCTACAACCTAACCTATATTAGGCCAATCATGGTCTATTATAAATAGTAAAATAGAACAAACATATACTTTAAAAAAAACCTATTTAGAAAACAGGTCATAGGTTCTTTCATATATGTCGAGCCTATAAACCTACATGTTGGCTTATATTATATTATTTATTTTAAATAAAATCATTATTTTAGTTAATTTTTTAAGGGTTTAATGTTTCTACTGTGAATGCATATAAGTTATCTCCATTCACTGTCAAAACGACGTCGTTTTTGGGGTCAAATGATTAAAAATTTATAATGATAAAGATTATTATAACCCTAAAATAAATTAAAATTACAAAAATACTTTTATTTTTATCCCAAATGACGTCGTTTTGGGCTCAATAGAGATAACTTATCTGCATTCACTACAGAAAAATTGAATGTTTAATGAGCTTAAACGGACTAACAAGCTATAGACCTAGGCGAAGGCTTTTATTTTTTAAAATCCAAACTTGTAATTTAGGCCTACACAAGGCTAACAGGTCAGATTAGACTTAAGTTTTTCTACATAGGTCTGGTCTAGTTAAGTCAACGCCAAGCCCAGTCTAGACTATTTACACTCCTAGGTTTCACAGAATGGACAAAACACTCTAAAAAAAATCACAAAAAAAAGTTAACATTCGAAATCTTGAATGTAATCACTTTTAAAAAAATGGATCTTTCTTTTATTACTCTTGAACCAATCTCCAATTGTTTGACAAGCAACTACCATTTTATTCTTTTTATGTTATCATAACAATATTACAACACGTCACTTATATTTTTTTATAATGTTATACTATATTTTCAGATAATACAATATATATATATATATATATTTCAACATTTTTTTTTCTATTTTTGAATATAAAAAATCATATAAATGATGTATATGAATCATTTTTCAGAATATAATATTAATATTAAATTGTATGGATAAGAGAAAGATAAAAAAGACCTTGTTTACCCAAAGAGAGAGAGAGAGACATTACTTTGTATATTAATGTTGGGGCCAGCTTTATGACTGCTTTTTTTTTTTCTTTTTCTTTGGTAGATAATGTGATTTTTTGCATTTTGTCACATCTAACTATACATTGTCTCATATGAAATTTTAACAAGCCCCCTCCCAATAACTATTGTTCTCTAATTTGTAACGTGTTGTTTTTGCTAGTCATAATCAAGTAGACTTTGCCATCATTTTTTTATTTTTTAGGATCATATTTTATTTTTGATAAATAAAACTCCAAACATAAAATAAGAGTAAATTTGACAAGTTAATTTAATTACTATCGTTATTAAATGTGGACATTGATAAAAAAAAAATCATAGTGGGTAACTAATAAAAAAAAGTGTAAGGATATAAGTGATAAAAAATTAAATCACAGATCAACTTATGAACTTCCCCTCCATATATATATATATATATATATATATATATATATATATATATATATATATATATATATATATATATATATATAGGTAAAATTATTTCTACAACCGCTTTACGTACAGCAACGACAAGTGTATGGTTATGATTCTCCATATTTAATATTTTCATCCTTTGTATGGTTATGATTCCCTGCATTTAATGCTTTCAAGTATATACGACAAGTATTTAATTATTGTACGTACAACAGCCGCAGAAATATAAACTCTATATATATATATATATATATATATATATATATATATATGATTAAGTGATAAAAGAATAATGCATGTGAGGTTTGTGAGCTTTTTCCTTTAAAATAATGATACGCTATTTTTATTTTGTTTTTGTTGAAAAATGATGATGTGTCAAAGTCTAGTGATGAAAGACGGGAACAATGATCAAAATGTCACTTTTCATCAAGTTTTTTACCTAAATGCCACGCGAACAGTGTTATTTCTCAACATGTCACGTGGGCAAGTTCGTTGGACACTGTAGCGAACTCTGTTGCTGACGCGTCACGTTTTTAGTGGACATCAAGTTCGTTACCCAATATAGCGAACTTGGTATTTTTTTTTTTTACTTGGTACTTGTTATCCACTAAAATCGTGACACGTCAGCAAACAGAGTTCGTTATAGTGCCCAACGAACTTGCCCACGTGACATATTGAAAAATAACACTGTTCGCGTAGTATTTAAATAAAAAACTTGATAAAGAGTGACATTTTGATCGGTGTTCCGGAAGAACAACCTTAGTATTCCAAGAGAGCGAAAAATCTAGTGTATTACGGAAATAAGTACAATATATCTATAGGAGCGCATCATGTCAGTTGGATAAAAAAATAACTTTTATATTTTATTTTATCAACCATCAGTGATACATAATATAAAGAGTAAATACCCTTTTTGGTCCTCAGCAAATTTTAAGATACCTTTTTTAGTCCCTAACAAATAAAAAGGTCCATCGTGGTCCCTAAAAAATTCAAAATGGACCCATTTAGTTGAAATTATGGTCCCTTATAAATTCAAAAAAGACCCATATTAGTCCTCAAAAGGACTAAAATGGATCAATTTTGAATTTTTTAAGGACCACGATAGGCCTTTTTATATACTAAGCACTAAAACGGACCTCGTAAAATTTGCTGAGGAGGGGTATTTACTCTAATATAAATACATCGTTACATCCCGTGATTGATGCATCTATAGTACAGAAGATGCGCTCCCAAAGAGAGAATCTACTTCACACTCAAACCATAGGAGGAAACCTTGTAAAACATAAAGGAAAAAAGTTGTGTTAATTATTCTAAGTTTAGTCTCTATGTGAATCTCCAACTCAGTGCCTCTGGTCTAGTTATCCCTTGTAGCGTCGTCCACTATGAGTTCTGATCGGTTAACTTATTCACACAGTCATTCAATTAGTAGTTATTCACCAATGGGCGTTTAATAGAAGAGAAATTTTTTTTTACCTCAGAATCACAATTGTCGGGAATATGATGAGAAAGTAAATTTCTCGAAAATATTAAGAAAAAATTATTTGATAAGTCAAAATATTACCGAAAATATTGATTAAAGTTTACTGAGTCTAGGGATGGCAAAGCGGGCAGCAAAATCGTGGTGTAACGTGTATCGCCCCTATTCCGGTCATGGAATAGATGAAAAAAACCAAAAAACGAATTTTTGTTCAAGAATGAAATCTTATTGGAACCGTCCAGTTCATCCTCCGAAACCATATTCCATCCTGGATTTGATGAAATAGGATGAATTGAGACGGTATTTTGTAAATACATAATTATCTTGAATATATTAACTGGCAAAGTGGACTGCCCACCCCGCCCGTGCCCGCCATAAGCCCGCCAAAAAGGAGGTTGACCCGTCCCGCCCCGCTGAGAAAGTGGGCAAGAAAACTCAGCCTGCCCCGCCCTGTTTGGGCGGGCGGAGCAGGCTGCCCGCCAAGCCCGTGAGATTTTACACTAAAAAAAAAAGAAGAAAAAATTAAAAAATCCAGCCCGGGCAAGCGGCAAGTTTGAAAAACTTAGCCCGCCCCGCCCCGTTTGGTGGGCGGGCCGAGCCGGCAGACTGAGCCCGTTTTGCCATCTCTAAGTCTATGTTTCGTGTGACATTTTTCATTTTCTCAACAATCAAAGAATACCATCATTTTTTTGGTATTCCTCCATGACATTTTCATCCAAAAATTACACAGCAAAAGAAATCTCGTAAAAAAAATCTAAAAAATTTCCCCAAATTTTTTTTTATTCAATGTACTATCAAACATGAGATTCATAAAAAGCCACCTTCACTTTCCCCGGCATTTGAAAATATACCTCATACCAAACACCCCGTTGTAAATCTGCTAGAATAAATGGGAATAATCTCGAGAAACTTGAATGATTGATTAAAGAGGTGTAAACAAATATTTCAAAAAGACATTTCCTTTTACCAAAATGAAATAATATTATATTATATGATTGTGCAAGACGTTATTATGGACAAAATGGTGCCACCCTTAAAAATAAAAAAACTGATCAGGTATCAGGTGGCTAGCCGTCAAGATGCCATATGGACTAGGGTCTAGGCACGTGGAGGCAGTACCCTCCTATTAGTTTTTTTTTTTTCTTTTGGAAAAATTCAAGAACCCTTTATGATACGCTCTTTTATCACCAATCACTCCAGAATATTTTTTATGCTACGGATGCATCAAATTTTTGGTGCATCTTCTACTAATAATATGATACGTGTCTTACTTTGTCAAATCATTAATAAATAATTTTTTAAAATCATGTGAGCGAGTAATTTAATATAAAAATAAAACATATATATTATAAATGAAAGATGCACCAAAAAGTCGATACGTCCGTATCACTAAAGAAAATTCCCTATCACTCGTTTCCTTCTAATTTTTTCAATCCAAATTCACCTTTTAACGCTGTGAATAATTGTACTAACCTGCCCACTTTTTATTTTACCCTACAATTTCATCAACCCAATTGCTCAGAACAATTACTATGGCAAAATTATGGCTCGGTTCAGCTATTAGCTTATAACTTCAAGGAAAAATTTGTTTTGTAATAAGCACTAAACCCCATATCCCTGCCCCCAAAAGTAATAAGCAGTTTGCCTTTGCCTCACGACATTACGTGATCCTCTTCCTCTGTGCTGCTTTATCTGTTGATCCTAAAACACAAGGCGGATAAATTTTTTTTTCCTACTAATTGAATCTTCAATTCAGAAGCTAAGAACAGGGTTTCTGTGGCAGACACACTAGACTGGAAAAACGTTAAAGAGAAGATAAAAGGGAGATAGTAACAAAGTTAGGAGGGGTAAGTGATAAAAAAGTTTTAAGTAGAGGTGTAAATGATTAAATTTTTTGGGGAGGGGTAAGTGATTCTGACTAAATTTTCAGAGAAATTTTTGAAGTTTTCCCTTATTTAAAAGCCTTTATAACAAATTGTTAGTAACAAAATTATCGCAAGGGTGGAAATATTCACACATGATTTTGGCGAGAGAAAACCTCAGTATATTTGATTTGTGCATTAAAAGATAGGGAAAACTTTTTCTTATGTTGCAGGCAAATGAATTTGTTTTCCTGTACTAACATAGAAAACTGTGTCTTATTTTGTATTTAATTTTTTTTTATAAAACGATGGGACCCATGATTTCTTTGTATCAGCAGGAAATTGGACAATTTTGCTGTAAAAGTAGAAAAGCAAATCCCTAAAAGATAAGACAGATACATTAGAAAACCAAAAAAAGTAATATATTTCCATGTAATTGTTTCTTAACATTATGAGAACAAAGAATAAAGACAAGAAAAATAACCAGCTATCAATAATAAACCTGAATTAGCAAACAAATCACCAAGGGTTTCGCCATATCCTATGCTAATTAAATATCCGAGGCCCTGCATTTTCCCAAACACAACATTTCAGCATTTATGTAACCTTACCTTAAGGTAAAACTACTCGTTACCAACAATCACAAGACGAAAAAAGGTGCATGAAGGGAAAGAGAAGAAGCGCCTGAAGCATAAAGTACTAATAGGGATAGGAGTAGTCATGCAGCCCACTGTAGGTTGCGGCTGTGCTGAACCTGAAGGGGGCGGGTTACAGGACTTCAAAGGTGGTGAAGGTGGAGGATAAGATGTTGTTAGAAGTGGAGAAGGGGTTGTTGAGATATATAGTTCCACATTGGTTGTATGTGCAACTAATGTGGAGTTTATAAGGCCTTAGGCACCACCCCTTGAGCTAGCTTTTGGGATGATGTATCACAAGGTTCTTTACATGGTATGACAGCTCGCCGGCCTCCACTTTCTCTTGTGGCGTTTCTTAGCACAGGTAGGCTGGACCTGTTGCATTGTCCACTCTTCAAGCCCAATGAGCTCTTGTGTGAGAGGGCGTGTTGAGATATATAATTCCACATTGGTTGTATGTGCAACTAATGTGGAGTTTATAAGGCCTTAGGCACTCCCACCCCTTGAGCTAGCTTTTGGGGTGGTGTATCCCAAGATTCTTTACAGGGTGAACATATTACTGGACATGTTACACAATCGCTGATGCAGAAAATACCCCTTAACATATTACTTGACAAAGTCGCTGTTACACTTTGCAATATGAATTGTTTTAAGCAGCTAGGTTGATGGAATTACAGGGTAAAATGGGTAGGTCAGTACAATTATTAACAGTATTAAAGGTGGACTTGGATTAAAAAAGTCATAAGGGAGTAAATGATAAGAAAAAAAGCTTTTTTTTTTTGTGGGTGGGGGGTTTAAGTGATAAAAGAGCATACCGTAAGGGGATTTTTGATCTTTTCCTACACTACCCGAGCTCCTTCGCATCCTGCTTGTTCGTTTCTTTCTATAGTGCAATGGCAAGAAATACGAAAGGTCCTATACATATTAGTCACTAACACATAGAAACAAGGACGTTCATTGATATTAAATATTGATACTATTTAATATGCAACTCTACTTATACAGAATTTGCGATCCTTAAATGATGTTCAATTCTTGAAGGGAAAATCAACTCCAGGAACAAATCTTTGTAGCTCAAGGCTATTAAGCTTAGCCATCGTTTCAGAACTTTGTTACCAAGTAAACGCCTTCTACTTCATGATAATCCCCACCCAAAGTTTAATGAGAAAAAATAATAGAAACAGTATCCAAAATTCATGCCAATTAGTCATGTGAAGTATTTAAATAAAATTTAGACAAGTCATTGACTAGTTATAAAAATGAAAGTAAATAAATTGTACTCATATTGGCACATGCTAATACGTTATAACCCTTTGAAAAAGAATAATGACAAGTTGCTGAATAGTACTTTGAGCCCAAACATAATTTAGCTATAATTTTCCTTACAGACAGGAGTGATGAGAGAACACAGATTGTGCAAACGTGAAGGATCTATTGTAACTGTGGAAGTAGGAAGAGAAGTAAACTCACAAAGAAGAAAGAGATTTGGTTTTGACAGAAGGTGCCGAATTGTTAATAGTAGAATTATCTGTCCAATTCTTTTCACCCCAATGCCATAACATGCTCTCCCAGAAGCAAAAATCCTCAAAGCAGGTTTTCAAACGAGGGTCTTTTATCTTAATTTTCCAGTGACCATCACTGTAGTTTCCTTTCTTTGCTTGTCTACGATCCCACTCTAACGCAGCTTTCTGCTTGGACCTAAGCAAACAGAACTTCTGTAAGTTTTCTGGCATGGCATCATGCACCTTCCACCATCTTGCATGAGCTACGTTACTCGCAAACTCCTGCAGAATGTCCACGTTCCAGTTGCAGTCGTAATCGCGGAAGCACAGCCATGGTTTAGTACCCAGATAGTGGATGACATAAAGGATTGGTGGATCAGCTGCAAAGAGACGAGTTTTCATCACTTTTTTCTCTTCCTCATCACCTTCCCAGAAGTGCTTCAAGAAGTTCATATGTTTTGGAATCCGATGCCACCATGTGAAAATTTCATTTAGATACCCCTGGTCCCCACCATTGTAGGAGACAATCTCATTGATGTGATCCATAAGCAGTTGAAACGTACAATTTGATGGTTCGACCACCATTACACCTGAGTTGAACAGTGTAGCATTGTTTCCTATGGCTGATATTTCAGGCATCTCAAAAAGGAAATCAATATTTCTAAGTATAAGAAGGTCAGCATCAATAAAAATGATTTTGTCATAATCTGTTAGTTGCCACAGACGGAATTTGCTGTAGTTCCACTCATTATATGCCTCTGGTTCAGCTTTTGGATTCCTGATTCTTTTGATTGTATGAATCTTCCATCCAGCAGCTACCAAGCCTCCCCTATGATAGTCACTAATTGTTTCATCAACAAGAATCACAAGATCTCGTGTTGAACCAGCCATGCGAATACTCTGAGCCGCAGTAATGGCTCCACAAACATATATGTGTGCAGAGTGCAGGATGGTTGCATAAGCTTCTCGGTTTGCTCTTTCTGAGTAAAAATTTTCTGTTAAAAGTATATAGTTAGTCTGTGATCAACACATCTAGTTAATCCCATAGAATGGAACTTCAAAGGATTCGGAATAATATACTTTCAAAAGCCATATGGGCTTTCCGAAATACATCAAGATTAAAATATACTAACCAAAGATGAATTTTATTGGTAAAATATACCAGATGATAGGATTCAATTAATTTAAAAGTCCATGCTTTCTCTGACATTAAGCACCAGATTTATTTAGACACCTTGACTTGTATCTTTGGTATTTATTTTAAGAATGAAAAGAGCATTACTTGAGTTATATTAGTCTTTCAAACAAAACAGTAATAGGTGACCTAATTGCAAGTATGTGTACATCATGCTCCTTAGTTGGTTTTTTTTTTTTTTGGTTGTCTTAACTAGAAGAAAATGGACTAGCACACTTACATCTGGAAACTTAAACTGAACAATTGCATAAATAACAAGATGTAAACAAGATTTTGGGGAAAAGGAGAAAGAAAAAGGAGTAATGACAGAAAGAGAACACAGCAAAGGAACACAAGTTATTTGAACCTAACCTTTAGCCTTCAAAGGAACTGCTAGTTCACATGAACCAATTGGCAGTTGTAGCTTCTCTCTTAGTGTATTCAGGTTGGGTTCATAAAGCCAGGCACTCCCTTCACGTTGTATAAGTTCCTTGCAAATAAAGAGATTTGGGATTGGGAAGCAATCAGTGACCAAAAGCACATGCACTGGATGATATCCCTTGGAAGAGGCAGCAAGTCTTGCTGCTTCAATCTGCAGGTGTAAACGAGCTACATCTCTTGACCAGCTCCCTGACTTGTTGCAGGGAAGCTTGACAGCAATAAGATCAATCCGTGGTTTTCCTGGTACCTGAATCCTAGGTAGCGTTGGACAAGTAGGAAACTCATATTCTTCTTCTTCATCTATCCATTCTGGATACAGGTCTTCCCAAGTAATGTTACTTGAAGCATAGTTCAGGTGAAGGACTACATGCTCTGCTTCTGGTACCAGCTGCTTCCAGCTGTCAATCTCGCTGTCGTTGAAGTTTAATAAGCCAACACCCTGATATGTGTCCTTATCTTTCAAATTTACAAGAACTTTAGATATTTGGTCCCATTCAATATTTAGAAGTGATACATAACGCGGATCAATGCCATCAAACTCTCCTTTCCAGTTGTTTACAAAGGTTCGCCTGCAACAAAAAAATTCTCCTTAATAACCCTAAACCCTAAAAAAATATAAATCACTGTGTACGATTTGGATAAATCAATTGCCATAGTAATTCAAGATGAGGAAACAAGACATAATCTTAGAAGGGATACTGCTTTGAAGTATACAGAGACCGATATAAATTAATAATTGTAAATTAATGCTCCATGCTTGGCAGGGATTGATGAATATAGCAGTTTATGAGAAGGAATCTGTGAGCAAACTACATCTTTCCACAAAAGCCCAAAATTAGAAATGAAACTACTATGATAGCAGGAAACTACCCACTTAAAATACTATGATGCAACAAAATGTGAAAGCATGGTGAAAGACAAATATGCATACCGTGGAATAGAGTTTGATAGATGATCAGTATTATAAACAGCTGGAGGATGGAAAATTGTAACTAAGGTTCCCAATATAACAATAACCAAAACTAATTTCCAATTTGGCTTGCAAGTTATAATCCTATCTTGGAATGGAACATGCAATGCCTTCTCAACATCTTTAAAATCTTTGCTTCTTTGAGGTCTTCTCTTGTTAGTATCTTCACTGCATCAAGAAGAGAGAAAACAATCACTACTTTATAAATATGAGAGAGAGAGAGAGTCCAAGTAGCAACAGTGGAAGCAGAGATATATTTCAAAAACAATCAAGGAATTAATCTTTAAGATGATGTTAAATTTTTATGTCTTCATCAACATATACAAATAAGCTAAAAACATAGTAGGGACAGGGGAAATTTCTTCATGGTTACTCACTAAATAAAAAATATATGAAAATGAAACAGGAAAACAGATTCCCCAAGAATCAGACAACAATGCCCATGTCCCCTTATAAACTCAGGCTTCCAGAATTGATAATGGTTGACATTAAAATTCTTAATTATACTAACTTTTCATTTAGGAATGTAGCACCAATTCTTAATTATGACATCAGAAGAATTGTTCTTTAATATGTACAAACTTCGATGGCAGAAGTGTCTGTTCAGGTTAATAAAAGCTAGTCTCTATTTAACAGCTTTGTTCTTGTATCCTCAAACGATTAGGAACCAGAACTTAGCATTTGTCATGCTTACTGTTACCATTCTGACTAATCTCACGATTCAGATGGTTAAACAGAAACTACCTACCTAAAAGTTGAAGTTTGTTAATTTCCACTTACTACCAACTATGAGCTAAGTATAACATTAGCTTCCAAACAACAAAACTAAATCAATCAATCAATAAATAAATAAAATTTACACAAAGAAAGCAAGACTCATAAACATTTAGCACTTTATATTGATATAAGGATTTTGATATTCTCTAAAACTCAAGTTCCTAACATAGATGTTACATCAAATATAGAGTTTAACTTAATCCACAATACCGAAACACAAATCAGGGTTCTTTTCTTGTTACTCAAATCCAAATAAGCTAAACTTGAAAAAAAAATGTGAAAGGGAAAAGACAACACTGACTTAAAGGAAGCCGACAAGCGGTACCGTGGCTCCACGGTGCTCGGGGAGGCTCCCCTCATCTCCGATTCAGCTCAAGCCAGCAGCATCTGATTTCGACGAAACTAGAGTTAAGGTGGAAAAAAAACTCAAAAAAAAAAAAAAAAGGAGAGAACTTTGATGCGGGCATCGAATAGAACCTGAAAATGAACAAGACCCAGAAGAGGAAAGAGGGTGAGTACGTGGAAGAGAAGAGCTCAGAGGTGGTATCAACAATGCCGGTGGAGAGTGGTTAAAGCAGACATGGCATTCACGTTGACGAATCTTATAAGAATTCTGAGTAGGTGTCTTAATTTAGAGACTGGGTCTCATACTCTCTTTTTTTATCCTGCCACCACCCACTTATTTTTAAATTATTTTGGAGAAACTCTGTAACATTAATTTTTATTCAATGGTACGTTTTTATATCAGAAGTTTTTCTTTACTGGGATATCCCTTTTATAATTAAATTAAGAAGTTTGTATTTCTCATTTAATATGACATAATAAACTTTCTTACACACATAACATTTTGTGGGTCTATATTTATTAAGAAAAAAGAAGAAAAAAGAAATTACGGCACGCAAAATGAAACTCTATGACATTACATAATCACTTTCCTATAACATAACTCTTATAAAATTCTTAAATTAATTCTCCGAAATATTTTTTTTGGTACCAAATCTGATGGTATTCTTTATTTTATTTTAATCACAACCAGGTCTTTTTTTTTAATATTTTTTAAATCATAGAGGTTTTAAAAGGAAATCCAGGTCCTAACAAACGAGAAATGTTAATTTTTTTTTTTTTTTACTCTTGTTATTTTACCCATTAAAAGACCACTATCTTTACTTTTCTTTTGGGAAAGCGCTACTTGAGAAACGAGTAACGACAATTATTGAGTACAAGATCAACGATTAAAACAAGACCCTAATTTTGGTTTGATATTTTTGAAGGAGGAGTTGTCACGTTGTTTATCTCTCTAATTGCAGTGGAATTCAAGATTACAGCCTGTCTTTGGAATGGATTCTAAACAGGATTGGAGAACTTATCATTATTCTATAAACATTTTTGGCTGTCAAGAGATTTGTACGTGGTAGTTGTTGAACTACGATGTTGAGTTATGTAGTTATCAAACGCAATCAAAATGATTTGTTGCTAAGAAAGCTCTATCCTACCTAATTTTTAAATAAATCCTGAATATATAAGTTTACTAGGCATTGATACAAGTGGATCAAGTTACCGGTGGGGCTATGGTTACAATCTTACAATATATTTAGTGTAAAATCGTATTGTGCATTTCAAAAAAATAATAAGGAGAGAGTATTTTTCTTGTAATAGAATGTAAAATCATCTACTACAATTTAAAAAAGATGTTTAGGATTAAAAATAAAGGATATTTTAGAAATTTCAATTTACTCTTGTATTATGAATTTTGTTAAAATATCTTGTATTATTAATCTTAGATCCCAAAATGACGTGAGTTGTAAGAAATAATTTTATCTCCTAAGAAAATATTAATCTCAAACAATAAAATTAATATGAAATAATTATCTAAGTAGAAATTTGATTTTTTTTTTTTCTATTTTAGATTTTGCCACCCATCGATTAATCAATTATTTTGGTCGAGTTTGGCAGGATTACAAAGACGACAAAATTTTTTCTATTAAATTTTTTAACACAGTTGCATATTCAATACGAACTCAAAATCACTTGTTAAAGATGAAACAACCCTATACCAACTTAACCACTCTTTTTAAAAAGTCACATTTCTGCCTTAAAAATGTGAATTAAAAACAATTTATTTTATGAAAATAGTTATTCGTTTTCAATGTATGAATAAAAAATTAATATTTTGCTCTCTTAACCTGTCAAAAGCTAGAGATCATATTTTTTTCATCATGAATAAATGTTAGTGCATCATGAAATAATCACGTGAATGTGAAATTTATAAACTATCAAAATTCTTATTCATGTCCTTGATCTTTGAATGTTGAATATGAATTTTATATATAATTTGCATGTGGTATTAAAGCATATATATAGGCTTGAGATTTCATGGGTTTTCATGGTTTTTCATTGGTGATATGCTTGGTTTATTCATCAATTAATGTTGATTTGGAAATTGTTCTTGAATGTTTAAATTTTGAGAAATCAAATGATAATGTTTTCAATGCATGAATTCATGATTAAGAGTGGTTTGTATTAACAAGTTATTAATGTTGAATAGAGAAAACATATTCTCTAATGAAAAATGGCATTAATTTTTTTTCCCATGGACCATTTCTGTTTGAGTTTAAATTTAGAGATGGTCATTTGTTGGCCGGAATAATGGACTTGTTCCCACACGGACTTGGTTCGATCTAGAGAATTAGAAAAAATAAAATGAAGACAATTATTTGTAGTTGTGCACCTTGATCAAGGTGGATAGGACCAGATTAATTATAGTTTTGATATAAAAATATCATTGATTATTTACAAATGTAGAGTTAGCATGAAAGTTGATACTGTGAATGCACTATTAGTTATATTTATATATCTAAAGATAGTAAATATTTCAAGTTAGTGTATGTATTAACTTCAATATGTTAATATAATATATTGATGGATATTGCCCAAAGGTGAAAATCAATATGCTTTGTTTGAATGGGTTATCTAATAATCTACGTAGCATGTTGGAAAAGTGACGAATGTACCACACATTGGTCACTTTTTTATTAGTATGACATGAGAACAATAATATTTGTCAAAATGCCACGTGTCCGAGTTCGGTACACTAAGCAGCAAACTTAGTTTGCTGGTGTGGCGTATTTTTTTTTTTTTGATAAGTGGTCACCTAGTTCGACACCCAATAGTGAACTAGGTGGCAATTAATACCCTCTGCTCTGATAAAAGCTGGGAACGTGGCAGTGTCACAGAAGTTCACTAGTGATCATAACGAACTAGGTAAAAATAGCAATTGAAATATGTGTTTGACATGCACAAGTTCGCTACACTAAGTAGTGAACTACATGCAACCTATAAAAATATTTGCTTCTAAAATTATGTGCAACCTGTAAAGGACCTTACATAATATTGCTTTTGCAGAGTTGTTGCTGAGTAAACTGACAAGGATGATGCTATTACACTGTTTTTGTCTTTCCCGTGCTATTATATTGCTTCTAAAATTATGCTATTATATTGCTTTTGTCTTTCCCGTGCTATTTTGTTGCTGAGGAGACTATGTAGGTTGCATGTAGTTCGCTACTTAGTGTAGCGAACTTGTGTGTGTCAAACACATATTTCAACGACTATTTTTACTTAGTTCGCTATCACCTCTAGTGAACTTCTATGATACTGCATGTGTACAGCTTTTGTCAGAGCAGAGGGGTATTAATTGCCACCTAGTTTGCTACACCCAATAGCGAACTAGGTGACCACTAAAAATATGCCACATCAGCAAACTGAGTTCGCTACCTGCTTTAGCAAACTCGGACACGTGGCATTTTGACAAATATTATCGTTCGCATGACATACTGATAAAAAAGTGACGAACTGTTCCTAGCATGTTAGTATCCATGTACATAAAGTTTTTAAGTTTTTAAGTCTCAATTGCTTGTAGTACCTATTGTTATGCACTTGCATCTCTCATCTATTATAATTTTTAATGGACTAAATTTCTCTGCATGGAGTGAAAAAATTGAATTTTATCTTAAGTTACAAAATTTGGATTTTGCTCTCCAAGTATAGAAACCATTTTTTTTTGAGTTAATTTAACTCTAATTACCTTTTTAAGGCGAGTTGACTCTCGTGGTATCTCCACAAGTTTCGACTTTTTGAGCCGGCTATGAGACTAAAGCGGAGTGAGGGGCTGGTCAGAAATGAAGATATTCAAACCCTCCTAAAGGTGACATGTGAGGATCGAACTGAGGCTCTTTCCTTTCCACTGACTCAACTTCTTTGCTACCAACCGAGCTACCATCATTTCATAGAAACCATGATTTATTGTTGTGTTAAGTATTAAAGAATATAAGATTTAGGGTAAACTTCATTTTCACCCATTGTGGTTTTGTGATTTATCATTTGACCCCCTGTGGTTTTAAACTTATCACTTAGACACATTGTGTTTAAATAATTTATCATTTAACCCCTCGTGGTTTCAAACTTTCACTTAGACATCTTGTGTTTAGAAAAATTTTCACTTACACCACTTGTGGTTACAATTTTAAAAAATAAATATTTAAAATAAATGTTCTCTTTTTTTTTTTTTTATATCCTCACCTAATGCATTTAGGGTTGAAAAATAAAAATGAATTTTTAAAAAATTCACTTATTTTTATCAAGAAAATAAATTCAATTCAAATTAAATATTATTTTATTTTATCTATTTTTTACCCTATATCGTTATAAAATTATCTAAAGAAAGTAAATATCTTATTTTGATAATACATATTTAGTTTATCTTAAATAATATTTTTAAATTTAAAATATATTTTAAAAAATAAGATAATTTATAAATTAATTTCAGAATAAATAACTTGAAATATTTTTTAAACCATAAATACATTACACGAGGATATAAAATAAAAAAGAGAGAAAATTTATTTTTAAAAATATTTATTTTTTAAACCACAAGGTATCTAAGTGAAAAATTTTATAACCACAAGGGGTCTAAGTGAAAATTTGAAACCATAGGGGGTTAAATGACAAAATATCCCAGCACAGTGGATCTAACTGATAAGTTTAAAACCCCGGGGGGTCAAATGATAAATCACAAAACCACAGTGGTTGAAAATGAAGTTTTTCCTAAGATTTATTATAAAGATGGAGAAAGATCCAAAAAATTGAGTATGTGTAAATGCAAATGAGCATAGCTAGCCACGTTAATCAGCTCTTTCTTAAAATTGGAAGTGTTAATGATCAAAATTTATGTGTGTAGGAGGAAATCCCCCTAATTGCTGATAAACCTCTTGTTAGGACATTCATACTACTATAAAATTTGATGGTTATCATACTTTGCAAGAGCATGTTATTGAAATGATAAACATTGCAACAAGACTTGGGCCTATTTGGACGGACTTGTAAAAAAAGAAATTTTTATTTCTTATTTATTTTAAAAGTATTTTTTACAAAAATTAAAGCTATTTAGATTTATTCTCCAAAAAAAAAAGTTATTTAGATTTTTTTTTAAATTGATTTTTGAAATAATATGTGACTTTTGACTTATGCTTTTTTTACAAGCTAATTTTTTTATCTTTAAAAAAATAGGTTTTTAACTTTTGTAGTGACTT